AACCACTCGAGTACCTGAGGCAGATGAATGCCCTCGAAGGCCATGCAGTGCTCCTCAGAGGACGTGGTCTCTGCAAACAGCTCCAGCAAAGTATAGCGGCTGTCAAAATCCATGTGCTGCTCAATGCCATCTTGCTGGCTCAGTGACAGAAGGACGTGAGCCCGACTCCCTGCAATCCACACCCAGTCCGTATCTTCTCCCCAATCCCCAACACTTTCCCTCTGCCTTTTCTAGGCTGAATATCCCCTCCCAGAGGCTTTTACTTCTTTGGGACCCAGATTCACAATGATATACATTTTACATGGTAGCCTGATATAAATGTACACATATATAACTGAAAAATATATTGCATGCTACAAAACTTACCTTAACTGCTACACAGTAGTATTTTACATTTTTAAAAAATGTTGCTTGTAACTCATCAAACTGGTTACACAACCAACTAATGACTCTCAACCCACAGGTTAAAAATTTAAACCTACACTATTCTCTGTCACTGCACTGAGAATGAACAAATAAACCAGGTTCTATCATTTTATCCTGTGTAGATTAATAAGTAATAGCTCATTAATCTATATTTTCCCTTTGCATTGCATTGGTCCTACAGTTGGAAAATCTTTCTTCTTTCTGTTCTTATTTTTTATGACCCCATTCTGTCCAGTGCTTTCCTTCCTCCCCTGGTTGTCTCTTACCAGCATCGTGGGCTGCCAGAGCCTGCAGCATCTTGCCCGCACTCCGACGGATCTGAGGTTCAGGGTTGCACAACATGTGCATGAGCAGGTCCAGGGCTCCTGTCTCCCTGAAGACCCCAGCGAGGGGCCTGATGCTGGCGTAGGCACTGAGCACATGGATAGTGTGGAGCACAGCAGCTGTGAGGCTCGAGGTCCCACCTTCTGCCAGCTGCCTGGCAGCCCTCTGCACCAGCGCCCGTACATCAGCCTCCATCTCTCCCATTGACACATCATCCAGGCCTCCTGGATCTCGGGGAAAGGTTCCTGAACCCCCAGCTGGTTCATGCTGAGGTCCTTTAGATAGTGCCCACTCACCTAACAGCATGGGGCAGTTGGCGTAGACCTCGGGGGCTGACAGCCACATGAGGATGTGCTCGGCCTTGCCCTCTTCTACACCCACTCTACCCACTTCCCCACACTTCAGGACACTCCATCGGATCAGGTATTCAGGATGCCCGTCATGCCCAGGACGCTGTCGAATAAGTTCTTCAGGATATGCCTGCAGCCGGGGCCCCAGGGGCACCAAGAGGTCCCCAGTGCGCTGTTCCCCCACCATCCAGACCTCCTGGGACACAGAGAAAGATAAAGGCAATATGGAAAAGGGAAAAGACTCCATGGAGGGGGTGGAATCTTGAGACACAAGACAGGGCAGGTGGTTAACTGAAGGTTGCATGATGGAATTTAGAGGTCAAATAGAAAGGCCAAGAATAGGATGAGATGAATAACTTGAACATATTTTGGGCTTTATAAGAGAAGGGGAATGGAGTGAAACAGATGATGATGAAACGAAGAGGTTTAAGAAATGAAGAGGTTATGTGGAAGATGAGAACAGGCAAGGTAACAAAAAGAGTTGACAGTTAAGTAGGACAGTCTTGGCAGAACAGCAGGGTATCTGAGGGATACAGATCAGGACTCAGATGAATGACATGAATGAGCAGGAGGAACAGCAGCATGGGGGTGACCCGGGCCAGGTGAGGAAAGTCAGGGTGGGGGAGGGGCAGGGCAAGGGGTATAAACGACAGGGTAAAGCTGGAATGTGGACATAAAGGAGTGGAACAGGACAGATATAGAGAATAGAGATGAAAGGAGGCTGGGCTGTGGATCCCCACATCCAGATGGCTGGATGGGGAAAGTATATAAGAGTATTGTGAAGGGGAGAGGAGTGTAGGGAGCCAGATGAAACGGAGGGAAAAGACCAGACACCATGTTCCACTTATTCTATATGTATGGTGAGGGTCTAAGTCGGCTAGATATAGATGAAGGTGGTAATCATGGAGTTGAAGGGTAGAGAATGAGGTCAGAGATGGTGAAGTAGGTATTAGAGAGGCAATATATGCAGATTTCAGAGATAAATGGGACTCTGAATTCTGGCTCATTGACTTACTATGTACGTAGTTTTGGAAAAGTTACTTAATCTTGAGCCTCAGTTTTCTCCTGTGCAAGGTGGTAATAATATTCATACCTAACTTATACAGTGGTAAAAACTGAAGATCACCCCTGTAAAGCACTTAGAACAGCCTCTAACCTAGCACATAGTGAGTGCTCAGTAAACATGATCTAATATTATTCTTAGGTGGAGAAGGCAGGAGTAGTCCTCAGATAAATGGAACATTGTTAAGCCAGAAGATTATAAAGGGGAGCAGAGTGACGGCTATGCTAGTAATCAGGAAAGAGGTGTGATATAAAGCAGTGTGGGGGCAGCGGGGAACGGCCAGAATAAGAATGTAAGGTAAACCAGGATGAAAGAAATGGGGATCAGGACAGGGGTCATGTTGGGGTACAAGGATAGATAAGAATGTTAAAAAGATGTGGAGAGGAGGATAAATACAGGGTATGGATCTCCACTGAGGCAAGGGTCTAGTTACCAGGGGGCGGGGCAAGACTGGGAGGTAACCAGTGACTTGGTGAACAACTGAGAGGCAGAACAATCGGATAGGGCTAAATTTAGGGGGATGGATTACTATTGGGAGCGATAAACTAAGGCATGAAGGTGAGGTTCGCACGCGAGGATGAGACGGCAGGTCGGTGCAGGTAACAAGGTCAGGCCCAAGCTTACAGACCAGCAGAGGCGGTGCAGAAGGCCAGAACGGCACAGGTTTGGGGTGTGGGGTGAGCAGGAGTGGGATGAGCAGGGGCGGGGATGGGGTGGGTTAGGAGACGGACACGGTCTGAGGAGACTGACAAAAATAGGCAGATTTCAGGGATCAAGACCTGGCTCGCGTCGTTAGCCCCACAGAAAATGGGTAAGGGACCAGGGAGGGACAGGGCAAGGATCAGGCTGGCACAGAACTCTCCTCTCACCTCCCACTGCCGGGCTCGGCAATCGCTGGAACACCGCTGCTGGTCCCGCTGTCCTGGCCCCGCCCCCTAGCAGCTCCCTTCCGGGTCACACAGCGAGTGCACGCCTAGCCGGGTATCTACGGGTCCTTTCACGGCCCACAGTCAGGCAAGAGGCTGAACAGCTCGAAGTGGAGCATGCGTAGTACCTACAGGCCATTGTTTAGGGGTGGGGGGAAGCCGGGGCCACACTGCGGGCTGAGCCCGCGAACGCTGTCACGTTGCTCGTCTTTGCAGCGGTAGGCAACCCTTCACATCTACAATCAACTTTGAGGCACCCCCCCCCATATCCCTGGGCCTGCCTTCCTCATCTCTCTGAAACCTAGCGACCCACCCTAAAGCTGTCCTTTTGAATTTTCACTAGGTCACGTGGCCATGAGTTCTCCAAACCCCTCGGCAATACTTTGTATTGGTTGAGTCACTTTCTATTAATTGAAATTGCTTATCTCTGGCTTGACCTAAGCACCTAACAAGCCCTGCACATGAAGTCCCCAGCCCTGCGAAATGTTCCTTAAATTAAATTGTACAGAGTTCAACAGCACAAAGCACCCCTTAGCACTGCTGTTTTCAATCAAGCAGCCAGGCTTCCTTCTCAGAGTAGCAACTTTTGGAGTTTGATTCGTGTTCATACCTCCGCCCCTCCCTAGATGGAAAAACAGAGGCAAAGACCCCACAGTCTGTGCACAAAAATGATACATTTATTGAAAGAGTATTTTTTTTTTAATACAAAAGAAAGCTCTGTACATAGGACTGTGACCATGTCCACTATTCCTGGGTCAGCATCCCAGGGGAAGTAGAAACCACTTACACACACCCCACATTCACACACATACATTCACTCAAGCACACACACACACACCCCAGAGCCACCAAGGAAGGGAAACACCAAGGGTTGCTGCACATGTAAATGCCACCTTATCCCTGATGCACACATGTTCTCCCAAGGCTATGCTCACACAACACACATTATAAGCACTTTGCCTGATTCACTCACTGGGTCTGTCTTTTGTGGGAAGGAGAGGAAGAATTCATCAAAGTCTCCTCCCCTGGGTGGGGGAGTGGGGAGTGAGTGAGTGAGGGTGGAGTGAAACGAGCAGAGAAAAGGGCTGGGCAGTTACAGACCTGAGTCCCAAGCCCTCCAACTCTCTGGCCCCTGATTTGCCATGCCCCAGCCTTGTAATCCACCCAAAAGCCCAGCTGTCTCCAGGAGAAAGCCCAGAAAGGTGACTTTCATCTTGGCACCCCAAACTAGGGCAAGACAGCAATGGGGGTTAGAGGTTAGGGGGTTCTAAAAAAATGTCGGCAAATCATCCCCTTGATAACTAGGCTGTGCGTAAAATCTTCCCCCACCCCTTCACCTAATCGCAGAAGCAGGCTTGTTCCTACTGAAGGCAGACATAGGGTTAATAAAACTCCACCCCATCTGCCACCATTCTGAAAAAGCTTCCTTTCTGGATATCCATGGTGAAGGTGGGCTCTGACACAGGGTAAAAGATCCTACCTGTGTGTTGGCCCACCCTGAAGGTCTACCCCAAAGGGGGCAGAAGAGGGTGGGGCACGGCCCCTGTACAAATTACATAAATACTGAGGTTACACTTAGAAAAATAAAGTCATTTTCTTCAAGGCTTTTTGTCTTAATTTTAAAAAGTTACAGTAGCTGCTCACTCCCTGGGAGAGCTGCCCACTTCTGGCTCCCCTATCGCTGCACTCAGCCCAAGAGCTGCTCCCACTTTTTTCTGACCCCCTTTCCTGCCTCTCACCCCCTCCCAGACCCCACCCTGCTCACTGCAACTTGGGCCCCAGGTAGCTGCAGGCCTGGGGAGCACAAGGCTGCAATGCCCATGCATGTGGCACAAATGAAGTCAGTTTTCTCTACCTGACACCCTCCCACTCCCACCCCCACATTTGGTCTCCCTCTTCCCTCTCCCTAGCAACAGCCCTAGAGGGCAAAAAGAGGCCCAGAGCTGTGGGTCACCCTCCCCACCCCGTTGGGGCATGGCCTGAGGGCCCCTCCCCCGGTTTTCTCCTGGAAACAACCCAGGACCGGGCGATCCCAGAATCTCCCCCCCCCCCACACTGGTGGGCCCCAAGCTGATGGGGTGGCTCTGTCCCCAGAGGCCCAGCCAGTTCTGGGGAGCCCCAAGGCTCCCCAGGGAAGGGGAGCTTGGGCAGGGAGGGGGATGAGAAAAACGCCATAAAAAAAGTTAAATATTTTAAAAATATATATTTATAGATTTGTTTTCACTTCGTCTCCTCAAATAAAAAGTTCAAAATCAACTTTGAGTAAAGCAGCTGGGAGGAGAGGGGGGAAGACGGGGAGAGGGAACAATGATGGTTCCCTCCAACCCAGGAGCCCCTGAACTTCCAAAAGGAGCGGCAAGGCAGGGCAGGCAGCCCCAGGAACCTGCTCCATGCACAAGCTCAGCTTCTTGGGAGCTATAGGGGCAGCGGGCAGCGGCATGAGGGAAGAAGCCCCATCTCCCCAGCTGGCTCCCTGAGGGGCAGGGAGAGGGCTCTATCGACCCAGCCTGTGGCAGACACAGTGCTGACTGTAGGGTCAGCAAGAAGGCTGGGCAGAGGACCCCAACTGCTTCCTCAGGGGTGGGGGGACACAGTGCCTAGTCCCACAGAGACCTGTTGTGGGAAGATGGGGCACGGTCCCACTGGGAAAGCTAATACTCATGGCAAACATGGAGCCAAGCTGGCAAGGGCAGTCTGAGGAGGGAGGGCAGCCCCACCATCAACAGAAACGGGAGGTGGAGCCAGAAGGAGGGGAGAGTGAGGGAGGACAGGGTGGAGGGTAGGCTGGCCCATTTCTTTGGCTGGAGTGAGAGGGCTCAGTCCTGTGGCTACCCACTGCTCCTCCCTGCCTCCCTCCTGCGGCCCGTCAACATGTGTGTAAAGAAAACGTGAAAAGGCAACAATAAATAAGTGGTGCCGTCCCTTGGGCCATCTGTCCAGGGCGGTAGGGCGGATCAGTCACTCTTGGTGCTATGGGCGGCGTCCAGGTTCACCACCTGTAATTCGGTGAGGTTGCTGCTGCTGCTCCCGGCCTGCTGCCCTATCACAGCCATCTGGAGGGAAGTGGGTATGTAAGGAAATGGGGGCAGGAACTGATCAGCCAGCTCAGGCTCCTTCTGCTTGTCTGCCTGCCCGCCACAGTCCTGACCAGGAAAATAGATAGGCCTCCTGGCTAGGGATCGTAGCTTTGACCAACTGGTAATGGAATCCCCAAGGTCAAGATAAAGTAGTAGCTGGCTGGCTGGCATGGGATCAGAGGGGCTCCCACCTACCTGGTGAAGCTGAACTGCAGACACAGGGATCTGCACTGTCCCAGATGGAGCTGTCAGAAACACCTGCGGGACGCCACCTGCGTTGGAAAACAGGCGATACTTCAAATTGCTTGCTCAAAAGAAACTTCCAGCTATTGGAGCAGTGCTGATAAATGCACAAATGACTGGGTGAATCTCAGATATAAGTGCCCTAGAGTGAGTGTCCACCTGTGTCCAGGTATGCATGTGAGTGTGTGTTCAAGTGTGCATGAGTATCCAAGTGGACAAACATGGGTGCCAGCGTGTGTGTGCAAGCATCTCTGTGTGTATATGTGTAGGAATATGTGTGCACATCCTAGTTTGTGTATGTGTGTGGCTATATACATCTGGTAGAGGGGCATTTGAGAGAGAGAGAGAGAGAGAGAGAGAGAGAGAGAGAGTGTGTGTGTGTGTGTGTGTGTGTGTGTGTGTAAGGGAGGCAACGGTCCTCCTTTCCTCAGCCCTGCTCCCCACTCACCTTGCTCCTGGACCTGGCTGTGGGACACCTGCATGGCGGATGGCGCCTGGGAGAAGGCATTGAGCACGGTGAGGCTGCCATCAGTCAGGCCCGAGGTGGGTGCATACATCACCGCGTGGGGGCTAGGGTACATCATGTGGCCGCCCACAGTTGTGGGCACAGATGATGTCATGATGGTAGCAGGCAACGTCACTGGCAAACACAGACACACGTTAGGGAGGCTGACACTGGTCCTTACTGATATCTCCCATCTCACCCCCAGGAATTTTAAGCCTCCAGAGCCCTCTTGCTATTTCCCAGGTCAGAAGCTAGACAAGACTTGTTTCTCTGCTTCCTGTCATCAACTAAGAAAAGCCTTATTTTTTCTTGAGCACAACAGTACCAGCCTTTAATTATATCCTATAACATCGTACTATTCAATTGTCTATCTGCTGAATTCTCTATTCCAAGGCCCTAAGGCCATGGGAAAAAACAAAGATTACAGTGACTGACCCAGCCTAAGGAAGCTCAGATACTCTCCCCCTTTTAGGGAGCTCTGTTACCCCATTTTTATTTGTCCTCACTCCTTCTCCCTTTTCCTAAATATGTGGCTACCAAAGGCATCTTTTAAATAAGCACTTCTCAAGTGTACATGTGCATATAGTCACCTGGGGTTATTATTAAAAATGCACATTCTGATTCAGTGGGTTTGGGGTAAGGCTTAATAGTCTGCAGTTCTGTCAAGCTCCAGGGTGATGCTGGTCCTCCACAGATCACACTATGTATGACAAGATTGTAAGTAAAAAGAACTTAAAAGTAACTTTACTGAAAGTGCTTCATCATTTCTGAAATGACTAGAGACGCTGAGAGGAATTATTGCTTCTATGAAGCTAGGACACCCTCCCACAAGGAGACAACTGCCCTATAAACCCTTCCTAGTAGTTAAGCAGATATGACTCTTTGGACAAGTGACTTCTCCCTTCTGGGCCTTAGGCTTCTCAACTAAATGAGGAGGAAGGTGGCTTCAATGGTCCCTAATCTATTCCTAACCACCACAGCCCTACTGCAGGCAGGATTCAAAACCCAGACATTCCCCACCTGACTTTCACTTAAGAATTAGGATAAGGATAAAGCCAAAAACCTCAGTCTCCATATTAAGAAATTCTCTGAGCAGCTGCTGCTAGGTCTCATGAAGGAGGCAGGGCAGGGAGGTGACAGAGCTTTGAGCTATACCTGTCCCGCTGGAGGAGGTCTGCGTGAGGTCTGTGCTGCTGTCGCGAGAGGGAGACGCCTGCTGTGGGGCCTGGTGCACCTGAATGGCCTGCACTGGGACCTGCTGGGCCACTGTCCCACCTATGAGACACAGAGAGCTATTCGTATTGTCCTACCCAGTTACCACCTGCACCAAACACCTTCAAACACCCCCATGCCCAGGGTTTGGCACCCTGCTCCCTGGCTCCCATCACTGTTTCATGGGACCCCAAGAAGCCCTTCCTGTCTTGACTCTTGGTCTCCAGGGGCTTCTGTCCTCTGCTTTTGCCCTTCCCTCCTCCTCCTGTTCTAGGCCTTGCCTCTGCCCTCTTGAGTGAACTGACACTGACCCATCAAGGACATGATCTGCCTTCCAATCAATGTAGGGAAGTGAGAGAATGTCCCTATGGCAATGGGGAAAACAGGACTGGGCTGCCCAGACAAGGCCAGAGCATAGGGTTGAAACTAACTGACAAGGATAGTAGGGGTCCCTGTGGGGAAGGGTATGCTTGCCAGTTGGGAAATGATAGGCTCCTCTCAGGCCCCCCGTTTACCCTCCTTCTGAGCAGAGGAAGAGGTTCTCCTTGTGCCAGCACTAAACCCACTCTTAGCATGCTCGCTTTGCCCCTTGTGACTCACCAGGCATGAGGGTGAAGCTGGTAGGCAGCTGCATGAGGCCCCCGGAGGAGACGGGCCCACTGCCTGTACTCTTCAGCACGGTCCCATTGGCACTGCTGACAGCACTGGGGCTGACACTAGCAGATACTGGTGCCAGGTAGTTGGTGATGGGGAAGGAAGGGCCGCTGCTGACTTGCATGGTGGTAGAGGTGCTAGGTGCTGTTTGGATGGTGGAGGTGGTACCCGGCAGGTTGGTGACTGTGAACACTGGTTTCAGTGAGTCCTACACCCAGAGCAGAGACGGAGCAGTGAGCCTCTACCAGACCCTGCCCCGTAGAAACTTAGCGTGAATCGACAGCCAGACTGGAACCAGTGTGCTTGGGTTCAAATCCCAGGTCTGCTATTTACCTGCTGCCTGGCCCTTGGGCAAGTTATTGAGCTGCTATACTCCAGTTTCATGTCTGTAAAGGGAGATTAATACCTACCCATAGGTGTTGTAAAGAATAAGTAAATTAACATACATAAAAAACCTTAGAACTGTGCCTGGCGCATAAAAAGAGCTGTAAGTATTTGCTGCTCTTACGATGATCATAATCATTATGATAATCATTATCATAATTCACTCAGTTCTCTGCCCCAGTGGACTGTGGCAAACAGACTGGCTGAAGAATCAGGACTCCCGGGGACTGTTCCCAGGTCTGGTGATGACCGTTTGTATGATCCAGGGAAAATTACTCTTTCTGAGCTTCAGTTTTCCTCTTCTGTAAATATGAGGGACTGTACTACTGTGCCCTCTTTAAAAGGGTCCTTCCAGCTCAGATTTCCCAGGCTTCTGAGATAGGGACTGAGAGTGTTTCAGAGAACTTAATTAGGATTTGGAGTGAGAAATCTTAGCGGTGTGGCACTTTATGACAAATACTGAAGATTTCAATTACCAAAAAAATTCATTCATCCAGCAAGATTTCCTGGGAATAAATGAGCCCTACTGCTAAGAGTTTGAAAATTATTACAGATGCCACTAAGAGAGGGGGGAATCTACAGCACTGACTATCCTCTCTGGGAGGCTTTGTTTTTAGAAGGGGAAAGAGGAAGCCATAAGCTGAGAGCCAAGTCCAGAGAACTAAGGGGTCTCAAAATACTGGAGGTTGGTCAGCGGGGGTTGTTTGCTAGGCAGACTAGCTCAAAGCCCCTGATTGGTGGAGGCGTTGCTAAGGCAAACACTGCTGCTTCCTCCAATTGGTCAGTTAGTGAAGGGCCAAAAGGAAGGTGGAGTTCCCCAGAGGAACTAGGAAGGAAGCCCCGCCCCTTCTCTTAACCGGGAAAAGGATGGGGGAGGCGTAACTAGGGCCGGCACCCCTATCGCCGGGAATACATTCCCTAACGTGTCCAGGTCCGGACATCCTGAAGAGGTAGGTGGCTGCCTAGTAAGGTAGTCTCCAGCCCAGTCAGCCAGCCCGCCTGCAGACAGTGCTGCGTTCCCAAGGCCCTGGAACCCATGAGCGCTCACTTCCTACTCCCCGGTGACCCAGCCTGCCAGGAGGGCAGGGCTAAGCTACGCCCCCGCCCCCAGCAGGGAGACAGCTGGCGGGAGGAATGCAAGGGCCCTGCCAGGCAGGCGGGCTGCAGGCGGGAGGCCGGCGTGGAGCCGGAGCCGGCCTTATATGGGCACGGAGGCCGCCCGCTTATCTAGTGGGCCGGCCTCCTGTCAGGATAGCGAGGATGGACACCTGTCTCCTAGGATGAGGGGTACTCACCCGGCCCCACTCCGCATCAGTGGGCACCCACCGCGTGTCCTTGCTGAGGGAGAGGGAGGAACCCCCTCCCCTCTCTGCCGGTCAAGCCCCTCCCCTTCCTTTCCCTCACATAGGGGACCCAAACACACCTTGGTCTCCCCACTGCTGTCGGACTCAGACACCTGGTAGGTGAGGTCTGTCTCTTCAAAGCCCGTGGCACTCATTCTCTGGTCTGTGGTGGGGTCTGAGCGGGGTGGAGAGTCTGGCGAGTTGAGGCAGGTCTGAATCAGTGCCTTGCCAGTCTCACTGGTAATCATGGGCTGCAGTTTGCGAGTGGCAAAGGTATACACATGGCCTGTCTCACTGGCCACCAGCAACAGCACCTGTGTCCCTGTCAGCGTGGACAGCTCATAGGCCTGGGGATAAGGGGGAGGAGATGGGTAGGTCAGCAAAACTTTTTATCTCTACTTGCTTTGGGAAGTAGGAAAGGGTAGTATGTAGTGATGTCAAGCCCCACTCCCATAATGACCTTCCTCTCCAGTGACTCTAGAGCAAGGTCCTATCAGGGTATCTGAAGGTGAGCTAGAGAGCAGAAAAACCCCGTGCCCCTTCTCCAGGAGCAGCCCTAGTGACCCGCAGATACCCCAAACAAACAGGTACAATGCCATGGTGATGGAACATATAACCTCGGCGGACACAGAGGGGCTCAGGTATAGCACTCCTCATTGCAGCTTGGTGCCCGGCCTTACAGAGAAATGGCTCCCATCCCCTCCTCACCGTCACAGGGACCAGGATGAACTCGCTACTGTACTGCAAGTCACATAAGACATTAGGGATAATGTTTAGAGTTTAAGAGCCATCTAAACTCTAAAATGTCCCATGTTTCTTCTCAGAAATTGCACAGGCGCTAACCTGTTGCCATTTGTCCTTCTGCCCTATAATACTGTGCTACTAGCCTTTTTTCCTTCCTTTTGTCTCGATACAACAGCGTCTTGAGTGATAGAAGATAGGGGAGCTAGATTAGCAGCTATTAACTACCCTCCCATGAGCCCAGGAAGGGGAACTTCATAGATGGTATCCTCACCCCCAACAAAGTTCCACAAACCCACCTTGGAAGTATCTCTGACTTTCATATGGGGCAGATATAAACAGCCAATGTTTCCAGGATCCTAGCTGCTTGTTTCCCAGTTCTTCTTCTTCCATACTATCCCCTATCTTCTACTCCCCAAGACAACTCCTTTCCTCACCCCTTTTCACTGGAAAATACACTAGGAGAACGGATTTTCTAGGTACCTCTGCAAACCTCCATGCCTTCCCACCAAACTCCATGCACAGATTCTCCCTAGGGCTGGAAGTCCCACTTGTCCAGACTGATTCTGAAGTCTGTCCTGCAGGGAGTGTGCGGAGCTTCTAGTGGTTGCATGGAAGACACACGGCCATCGCAGGACTTACTTTGGTCCCCGCAGTTCAGGGCAGCATCACTTCTCCTGCCTTCCTCCCTTACGTAGAGCTTGCGAGCCCTTCTTGTCCTCCCAGCCAGCACTACTTCAGTGGTGCCCACCTTCCTCCCACACATTCCCTCATTGTAGTTACACTGCTCCAGCCTCCTCGCATCCATTCCTTCCCTTCTGTTCCCTGATTTTCTGGCGACCTTCCCCGAACACCAGAGCCTACTGAACCTACTGATCCTTGGGTTTCGTTAACCACCTCCCGGCAGTCTCGCAGCCTCCCATTACCACTCCTCGCCGCTTCACTCCCGCAAGGGCCCTGTTCCTCACTCGCGCCCGTCACTCCGTGGCGCCTTTCCCCTCATTTCCTGATGTTCGCCGCTACTCCCCTCTACCCATATTTCCCTGGCGGCCCCTCCCCTAATACCCTCCGGGGGTAATAGCCATCCGCTCCCACACACATCCTGCGGACTCACTGCCTCTCACCTCCGCCACTGCTCTGCCTTCCTCCTGGGCTCCCCCTGCGCGTCCCCACCCTTCTAGTTCCCCGTGGTCGGCCAGCCTCCCGGTCCGGTACCTTCTTCATGATGCCCGTCTTCCTCTTGCTGAAGGTCGTGTAACGCCGCAGCTTGTTGTCGATGAACTCCATCTTGATCTTCACGCGGCCCCGAGTCTTCTTACCCGGCTTGGCCCCGCTCACCGCGCCGCTCACCGGCCCATAGCCCCCGGTGGCCGCCGCCGCCGCCGCCTCGGGCCCACCAACTACCATGCCGATCTCCATCTCACTTAGGCTTCGCTTCATGCCGCGCCGCTCCGCGCCCAGCTCCTCCTCCTCGCCCGACTCCGAGTCGCCCTCGCTGCCGCTGTAGAGGGCCCCCGCGGTGGGCGCCGGGGTGGTTGTCGCTGCTGCTGCAGCCTCTCGCTCGAGGCGACCCGGCCCGAGTCCCGCGCCGTTCCCGGGGACCCGGCCCCCGTTAGCCCCGCGAGTCCCTCCGCCGCCGCCACCTCCACCACCCGGCCGCCCCGTCGGGGTCCGGTTCAGACTGCCCCCCAGGGCCGAGCCCCGGCCCAGCGCCGCCGCGGCCCCAGCTTGGCTCGGTAACATGGCGCTCAATGCTGGAGGGCGGACAGGCAGTCAGCGAGGAATTGGAGCCGCCGCCGCCGCCGCCGCCATCGGCTTCCCGGCTCAACCCGACGCTCCCGCTGTTGCTAGTGCCGCTATCGCTGCTGCCGCCGCCGCTGCGAACCCGGGGCCCCTGCACGCCCGGGCCGACCTGGGCCCTCACTTTCCTGCCCCTGTGGCCCGGGTTGCCCCAGGCCGCGCGGAGCGCCCCCTGTCCGTATGCTACGGCGGCGCGCCGGGCGGCCGTCAGCGTCCCCCCGGGGGCAGAGGCTGCTGGCCGCCGCGGGGACGGCGGGTGGAGGGGGCCGGGACCACGCGCAGGCGGCGAGGGATCCCCCGACCCTTCCCCCCATATAAAGAGATACAATGTTTCCTTTTATGGCGAGGCCGCTCCTTATATGGTGAGCCCCTGCGCCCCCGCCCCATTGGTCCACCGTTCCACCACCTCCGTTCCCCATTGGCTCACAGGGGGCGCCTATTTGCATAGACATCCCGAACTCGCTGCAGTCATCCGGCGTCAGACGCGACTCCGAAAGAGGAGGAGCCGACGGCCCTTAAAGGAACCAGAGAGGCGGTACGACTCCACCTCCCTCACCAGAGAATGGTAGAAAGAATTGGGAGGGACCTGCGGAGAGGAAGCCTAGGAGGAGACTGGAGCGCAATCTTGCGGAGGACAGGGAGCAGTACTGGGAGCCTGACTCTGGAAAGACTGGAAATAAGCACTGGTGTAGTTCCTGAGTGCATTGTGCGGGTTGCGGTAAATGATGTAATACAGCCCAAGTTCCACGGGAGTGCAGGAATTGGAGCATTTACCAATGTCTGCCTGAGGGAGGCAAAGTTACTGGCCGAATAGCGGGGACAAGGCTCCCTGGTGTCCAGACTCGTGGCCCCCTCGCCACTAGGCTCCAACCGCGCCCCCCCCCCCCAACCCCCGCGACTTCCTTTCTCCTCTTTTGAAGGCGAGGACACTTTCCCACCAGGTCGGTTCTCCGGTCCTCATTCATCATCTTCAATAGTGGGGCGGGGGCGGGGGTTGGCAGACGTACATCTGGAAAAGAACGGGGAGACAGTCGGCCTTCCCGTCCCAGATGGGGGCAGGGAGGAGAGATGGAGATCAGTGAAGACTTCCAGCTGCGGGCTGGGCTAGGGGAGAGAGTGGTTCCAGGGATAAAGCCCACCCCCACCCAGTGCAGAGGCCTGGGAAAAAGTGTGGCCGGGCAGAAAGTTTAAGCGAGCAAGCAAGCCCACACCCACACACCCTTCTCTGGAAAGCTCATAGGAAAAGAAAAAGAACTAGGGTGCTGCAAAGGCCAGGTTCAAGGTCTGGGTCTTAGCTCCAAGGTATTGAAAATAGCTTAATCTTTGCTGCTACACAAATTACTCAAATTAAGAAGCTTTCTCTTCCTAACTCTGCCAGAAACCCTGGCCTCTCTAAACTTCATAGTCATTGTTGGTACCCATCCCATGAGATTCTTAAGGGAGATTAAATGAGAGAAAGACTAAAGCACAGAGTAAGTGGTCAGTGAATACTTAATAGGAACTACCTGGGCCATCGGGGCATCCCTGGAATAAACATCCTTCTGTATTCAATAGGATGGGAGAGCATGATTATTCCTACCTTAAAAGTTGCTGTGACGATTAAGTGGTAGTGAAATCAGTTTAGTGTGCTGCAACCAGAATTTAAAATAAATGGGTATCACAAAAGCAATGGTAAATATCGTTGCATAAAATTGTGTGCATTTTTAGGTCGAACCATATAAAACTGCCTTTTTATAGGGCAAGAAGGTGGAAGAGTGTGGATTTCGTATGGTTCAGTGTGTGTGTACTAGATGACAATGCCAACTGTGCATCTTACTGTGAGTTACAGTCCAAACACTGAGAAATACTGAAATTATGTTCAAGTGTTCTGTGAGATGTGCACACATACATATATACATACACACACACCTATGTTAAAAACATGGACTTGTTCAACAAACCCCTATATACTGGAATTAAGAGCCCTCCTCTTCCCCACTTCCCAATGGTTTTTAAAGATTTTTTTTCTTCATTTAGTCTGCACAACAGGTAAACATAAGGAATATGTTAGCTCAAGAGGAAGAACAGGTCAAATAGATAAATAGGTTCCAGAAGGGCTTCAAGGGGCCACAGATGGTGCTCAGGACTCTGATTTATCTGAAAAGCAGAGTTTTACAATCACAGGCCTGCGGTCCATTCCTACCTATCTTCTAAAGATTTCTCTGTGTGAGACCCCTAGTTTAGATACGCTCAGCAGTGGCACCCCAGAGGACAACTGCTGCATACCACATCCACAGAGTAGTGAAGTTCTCAGCTTCCCTTCAAATAGGCTGCCCTCTCTCCAGTTTCAGCCAACCCCTGGGCCACTGAGCACCAATGTTAGTGCCACAGGACCTTTGCCAGCTTGGGATGGCTTCCGCCTTCACAGCCCTTTGTCACCACGGGGCAGGGGAACCTACACCCACACTTCGTGGGATTACTGCAGGTGCAGAAGCCAAAATTGTTCCTGTGGATAAAGTCAAAATCAAAAACTCGTTCATAGATGTGTTTTATTTTTCCATTACAGTTTCCATTCAATATTATTTTGTGTTAGTTTCAGGTGTACAGCATAATGGTTAGATAATCACACATTGTACATAGTTGTCCCCCGAAAAGATGTTTTGTTTGGACTATATACTTTTAAATCAGATTTTACATAAAAATCTGAATATCCAGCCTCTCTCAAAAAATTGGCATTTTTAGCAACTCCAGGCTGACATGCCTACAGAAGCACGATAGCCTAGAGCTGAGCTGAATGGTAGCTGTAGAAGAGGCATCTGCTCTCTGGTTCACCATAGACTCCACAGGGCCCACTGAGCTCAGATAAGTCCCCTGTCTGGCCTCTCTGGAATGTGGGTTTGGTGCCCTTCCGATAAGGCCAAAATTACAGTAGTTCCCGGGAAGAGAGGAGCTCACATCCGCCCCAGACCATGAAGCACCCCTGAAAGGGCATCAGAATTCTAGCCCGATGCCCTCATATCGCCATTCCCACCTCGCTCTCTCTCTCTCTCCTGATTTTTATCACTCAAATATCTGAACAAAAATTAGGAGTGCTTTAAAAAAAATTACTGTCACACGCAAAGGCCCTAACTAAAACTTTTCATTTGGAGTTAACCTTCACTCACGCATTCTTCACACAGAAGAAAATAAGTCTCAGTTGTGCTCTCTGCATTGAAGGAATGGCAAGGCAAATAGGTAGTCAATGAGTGTGCCGAGGGAAAGTCTGGAAAGCCAGGCTCCAACCACTAATAATGTTTACCACTGGAGAGGGCGAGAGGTATTAGCAGAGTGTGTCCTTTGCTTTATACAAGTCTGTACCATTTGACTTATTCTATGGTCAGTATGACTTTATACAATTTTATTTCTCTTCCAATTAAGCAAAGATAGAAATAGGTTAGAGGTAGAATAAGGATCTTGGCAATAGGTTGCACAAGGAGTGGGGTACAGAGAGAGGACTCATGAGGGATTGAGATTTTTGAACAAGGACAACTGTCCTCCAAACAGTGGTACCATTAATGGAGAGAGAGAACTTGGCTGGAAGAAGTTTTGGGAGAGAAATTGTTTGGACGCAGGGAAACAAGCAGAGGAAAATGTCCTATAGGAAATGGGGAGTATGTGTCTGGAGCTTGAGGTAGAGGCTGGAATTGCAGTTCATGCTTTGGGAACTGTCTACACTAAAGGGCCAATTAAAGTCACATGAGGTGAGATGAGATTCCTGCGGGGGACAATGTAAAGAGAGGAAGGCCAGGGACAGAATTCAAAACAGTCATCTCTGGGGACAGTAGAAGAAAGCCTCAGCCAGGGCTGGAGAAGGCCTGGTCAGAGAAGGTGGACAGGGCATACCATCAGCAAAGTCAAGAGAGGAAAGGTCAAAAAGGCAGACGAGGCCGGCAATGTTAGCCACTGCAGAACAGTCCAGGAAGACCAGGAGTGAGAAAAGGGTTAGTGATGAATGACCTTCAAGAGTAGTACCTTCCCAATACTTCCAAGTGCAACCTACATTAAGAAATTGTTTTTATGTCACAATCAGTGGTGAGTTAGATTTTTGCTCCCAATTCTTTAAACCCTGGGATGGAATCAGACATTCACATCCTTTGCCGTGTTATTTTGCAGAACCTACCACTGCTGTTCAGTTTCAACATGTAATGTGCTTTGGTCAATACAATGTTAACAGACTTGTGGTTTTAAATGTGTTTGCATGGCCTGGCTTGATCGCTTGTGCTCTTGCTACTCTAATGAGAGCATTCTCTGGGACCAGCAGGGTAGACCCAAATAGTCCTACAGCCTAGAACCAAGCCCAGCTGAACTCTGCTAGGTCCATCCACGAACAGCTGAACCTTAGCGACCTCGAGATCCAAGAGGGAGAAAAATGTGTAAATTGTTTTTGTGACCGAGATTTGGGACTTATTAAGCAGGATCACCACTCCAAAAGCTAATAACATAACCCAGTATACGCAAACAAGTATCGAATATTAAGAACAAAATTTTTGTAAAAGATAGTTTCTATCATGTTTCATATTTTTAAAATGCTGGTTGCAACCCACGGTTTGAAAAAAACCTGGAGAAATTGTTCTTGGGGCTTTTTTTTCATTCCACCATACCCGTAGGATGTAACACACAGTACATCAACAAGTAAGTGGCTCCATTACTAGCTGTGTGACCTTGGAGAAACTACCTGGCCTCCTTGGGTCTGTTTTCTAATCTGTGAAATGGGAACAATAACATCTGGCTAACAGAGTAGTTGCAGAGATTAAATGAAATAATGCATGTTAAGCGCTCGGCAAAATGACTGGTACAGAGCAAGTACTCAATAAATATTAGCTGTTATTTTCATTGTTGAGAAGTGTGGTGACAAACAGAATGAATTAGAGCGATTTCAGAGTTAAGGGTTCATTTCTTTAGGACGGGGAACCAGGCTGAAGTTACTGGAATAAGGCAGAATGTAACTGATGACACAGGTCTAAGTAAAGAAGCAGGAATCAAATCAGCTGAGGGCCTTGGAGCAATGAGGCATTAAGCATCATCTCTTCACTCACTACTATCCACTCCATCTCCCTCCTAGAGTCTTTTTTTTTTTTTAATGAGTAACAAACATCTGGGAATTTACTCAATTTTTAGGGATCCAATATTACAAAATCCTCCTAGAGTCTTAAACGGATTCTGAGACCTGAATCTGTCATTAACTATTCCTCCGATCCTACTCTAGCTTGTCCTCCTTCACGCTTTCACCCTCCGCACCTGAACAGGAGGACTTGGCCAGCCAATAGAGTAAGTAGTTGGCAGTCAGAGAGCAACACACAGGCCCATGGACAAGAGGGGGCCTCGCCCTCAGGAGCCCACATCCTCGACTGTTCCACAAATCAGAGAGCAGGATCAGTGTCTACCATTTATTCCAGTCCAAGCCTCAGCAGGTCCCATGAAGACGCGTGGCCCCTTCTAATAAGTGAGGGAAGATGGGACATCTTCCCATGGGCAACAGCAGAAAATGAGCATCAGCAGTTGTAAAAAAGGCTTTTTTATTGAGAGCAGCGAGTGTAAAAAAAACAAACAAACAAACAACAACAACAATAAAGGTGTGAGGCAGGGGTGGCCCCCTGCCCCCATCTCCTCCAGGGCGCACCCTCCCTCCCAAACCCACCCACCCTACGCTGCAAGTACATACAAAAGCCGCCCATGGTGCATACAAAAAGGGCGGGTTATATAATGTCAAAAGCTCCTGAAAACTCCTTCATCTGCCAGGCACTTAGGACGAGGAAAGGAGAGAAGGGTGGGGAGGAGGCACGGGTATGGTCAGCGTGCACAAGTCCATGCGGGGAGGACGCTCTGGCGTGTCCTCCTGATCCTGGCGCAGACCCCAAGGGAGGCCCCATGGGCCAGAACTACTCGGGAATTTGAGTATATTAAGGAACACCCCTCAAACCCAACTCATCTCCAGCCTAGCCCTCCCTGGGCAAAGTTGGCAGGTGAGTGACAGAACTGGACCTGGTCAAAGGGAGGAGACCCAGGCCAGAAACTGGGGTTACCTGAGGCACCCACACTGTCCCTGATGGGGGAAAGGGTGGCGCGGAAAGCTGCCCAGCCCAAGGCCCTAGTCACCCATTCTGGGTCCCAATCAGCTTCCCCAAAGGCTGAGGGTAAGAAAGAGGAGGAAATCCTAGACCCTGCCCAGACCTAAGCAGTGCCTATAGCGCCAGGGCAGGGCCCCTGGGGCCAAGAAGGACAGGGATCTTGCCCGTCATGCTGCAGGCACCCTTCAAGAGGTCCTCCCCGCCCATGGGTCCTGAGGCGTAGCCTGCCTGGGCTGGCTCCTCACGGCTTGCTGTCTGCGGGGCTGTCTCCCAGGGTGCTGGCGATCTCACTGAAGGAGGGCCTGTCCTTGGGGCTGAGGGCCCAGCAACGCTGCATCAGCCGGTAGAGCTTGGAAGGGCAGCCCTCAGGCTGTGGGAGCCTGGCCTTCCCAGCCTGTAAGTCTGCAGGAAAATGGCGGGAGGAATGTGAGTCAAACTTTTAACCAACTGCTTGTCCAATACTCTTTGGAGCCTGCAGTTCCCACAGGCAGCTACTGGAGGGCGACTTGGGGTGGGCGGGTCACTGATCAGTGGTGGCTGGGTGCTGACTCAAGGAGTACACGGCAGATACCCTGCAACCAAGGGGATAACTCCCCTGGCTCCAGCTCTGCGGGGCTGGTGGGGGCAGGGGCCACACAGCACAGGAGGCAACTGGTGCACGGGGGCTAAAGCGGGGTCAGCGGGCAGGCCTCAGCGCCTAGAGTGGGCGCTGGGGGCAAGGGCTGTGTACCGATCCGTATTTCAGTATTCTAACAGCAGAGGCCATATCTGTGTTCCTGCTACAGCCAGCCCCGAGGGGAGGCAGGCTGAGCTGGCCCCAGGGCCTGGAGCAAACTCTCCACCTGAAGAGCATTTGGAATGGTTGCTTGGGAACGCAGCTGCCTACCTGCCAGCACTTCATCGTCGGCCTGCCCACCATGGGGCATCTCTCCATGGGTGAACACTTCCCACATCAGCACGCCATAGGCCCAGACATCCGACTTGGTGGAGAAGTCGCCCTCGAGGATGGCTTCCGGGGACATCCAGCGCAGAGGCACCCAAGCCTGGCGGAAGTGGTAGTACTCACTGCAGAAGAAAACCACATGTGGGTGTGGGGCTCGCAGGGTCGGGCAGGGTGGGGCGGACACAGATCCCTCCTCCCAGGTCTCAAGGCCTAGGCAGAACCCAACCTTCCTAGATCCGGGCACCCAGTGCAACTGGTGACATTTATGCTGAGCACAGGGGAGTGCTGGGTGAAATTTGGAGGTATCCTCATGGAGTCTGATGGTTAAAAATGCCATTAAGAATCAAACTCTGCCTAAATTTTAATTTTAAAAAAGCTAATAAGCTTATATACTTTCATTATTAGTTTTTGAAATGTGAAAAAGAAGAACACATTAAATGAAAAGCAAATTGAAAAAGCTTTACTAGTGGTAAGTCATGACTAAAGCAACAACTAGACCAACTGGGGTGACTCAGAACTGGGGTGACTCGAGGGGAAGTTCCCAGAGGCGCCATGTAGTATGTGTGGGCATTCCAGAGCAATCTCTGGCCGTGGGTGCTTGGCTTTAAGTCTTAGGCTTCAAAATAATAATTACTGAATTCAGGAAGTAACAGAGGGAACCATATGAATAGCTAAAATATATATACACTGTTAGAAAATTTGGCTAGTTATTTTAAAAAGGTTCACAATTTTTTATCACTAGAGAAAATTTATGAGTGGCAGGGACCTGTGGCCCACTGGCTGGGACGCCTGTGCATTCTCTGGAGAAGATAGGAAGTCTCTGCCCCTTCCTGGGCCCTCCAACTTTAGACTTAGCAGACACTAAGCCCTTCCTCACACCTCCCACATCTGCCCTCTCCCCCTCTCTCCCCCGCCCCCCTCCATGTCCTACCTATTGTACACGTCCTTGCTGAGCCCCAGGGCCGACACCTTCACCTGTCTCTGGGCGCTGACCAGGCAGTTGCGAGCAGCCAGGTCCTTGTGCACAAAGCGGTTGTTGGACAGGTGCTCCATGCCCAGGGCCACTTGGGTGCAGAGGGCCACCTGGAGCAAGAAGGACGCTTGTTAGAGTACCCAGGTCTAGGGGATCAAGGTGACTGCCCCTGACCAAACCCTTGGTGGGGTCTCAACGCCATTGGTGTGATGCTTAGGAAGCCCAAAAGCAAAGACACAACAGCTTCAGTTCCCGTCTCTGTAAAAAGGGGATGATAACAGTACCTGCTTCAGTGGGTTGTCAGAACAAAATTAAATGAAATTAAGCTCGCGGAACTACTTGGACACACAGCAGATGCTAGGGAGGTGAGTGGCACATGGGTAGGGAGAACACATGGTAGCTACTTGTGAAGAGTAACTGGGCATTAATCATAGCTTACATCTTTACGGGTTGTTCCTTTTCTTTTTTACTTCAGAATTACTTATTTTCTGCTAGTTGAATACAAAAAAACAGAACAAAAATATGTAAAATTTCTGTGTGTTCTGTGTATGAACACACAAACATACACACAAACACACACATGACTGGTTGCCTCCGAGAAGGGGAGCTGGAAGCTAGAGAGGAGTAAGGTAGAAAAACTTTTGGTTTATGTTGTTTAAATGGTAAACTACGTGTATCAAAGTTCATCAAATATACGTGCACTTTCACAAATGCACTCGGGTAACAATCACTAAGTTAAAAAAAACAAAACCAAGAATGCTAGCACCCCAAAACCCCCTACAGGTTCCTTCCTCATCAGATATTCTCCCTTCCCACCGGAGAGGGAGGTGAGCACTATCCTAACTTTATGATAATAATTTCTTGATTGTTCTTTCTAGTTTTACTCTTACGCATATGTTCCTAAACAATATAATTCAGTTTTGCCTTTTTTAGAACCAGGTAAGGCTGGAAGCATGCAAAATATATCTTCTTTTGTGCCTGATTCTTTCACTCAGCACTGTGATAGTCATCCTTTTGTTGTTGTTGTTGTTGTTGTTGTTTTTGGGGGGGTACCACTGTACTGAGTTTTCGTCCTGAATACACCATAATTTATTCATTATAATGCCAATGGATATTTAGATTTTTTTTCCAGCTTTGGGCTACTAAGAAGAGTGCTGCTCTGTTCTTATGGGTGGACACATGCGTGAATTTCCTCACGATAGCTAGATGTGGGTCATGGACTGAGTATTTGTAGCTCTACAAAACAATGACAAACAATTTTCCAAAGTGTAAGAGAGTTAAACACATATTTCACTGATATCCTTTTAAAATTTTTGAGCCATGTGAATGCATTATATAGAGTACCTTATAGAACATACTGAATGTAATTATAATTAAGTTATATTATTTTAAAAGTATATATCCATGTACTGAACAAATATTGAGCATCTACTGTACCCATACACAGCTGGATGCTGGTAAAATGTGCCAGGAATGTGGCGCAGTATGGCTTCTGGTAAGAGGACAGTTTAGACGGGAGATAAGAATTATGTCCCCAGAAGGCGGCCACCACCTGCTCCATGTTAAACAGAGGTAGAGTTGGGAACCAAGAGAGCACCTGTAAAGACCTATGGCCCCTATGTCTCTGTCACCTGTCCCAAACCTTGGGAGCCACCACTGAGGAACACACAGGACCTGTAGCATTTCTCTATATGTAAAAACAAGGCAACAGAAATGCAAAGAGAGCCCTATGGCCTGTGGAAGGTCATTTAACAAGTTATAGATCAGTTGTGTGCTGCTTCTGCCATACAGATTCATTCTCAGGATCCGTAAGGGAGAAGGCACCTATCACATAAATGCAGTCACAGAGGGATGAAGATAAGAATAGAGCCAAAAACCAATCACTGGTTATCAAGGAAATAATAAGCCAAGACCCAATAAGATATCATTTAACACATCTGCTGATGAAAGGTCAAAAGTCTGCCTCCTACTTATCTGTAATGGTCAAGAAAATACATGAAAAATGAGCCCTGGCTGGTAAAGCTCAGTGGACTGAGTGCAGGAGAGGCCCCCTGTGGGAGGTATGCGAGAGGCAACTGATGTTTCTCTCCCTCTTTCTCCCTCCCTTTCCCTCTCTCTAAAAGTTTAAAAAAAAAAAAAAAGTAAAAATAAAACAGTAACTAAATAAGTAAAAGCAGCTTATGTGTGGACCAATAATGAATACCTTATAGATTATGCAAAGATTATGGTTAATATGATTCTATGTTTCTGAAGTTCGAAGAGGAGTGAAAGTGAACGGGAGTGGTAGAGGAGTGGTTACCAAGTTACCCAGCGCAGGAAGGAGACCACCCAGTATGAGAGAAGGGGATGGGATCACTTGTGTGCTGGGCCCCGAGGGAGGCCAGCCGCCTCTCCGACCTGCACTCTGTGAGGCGGGGCTCACCCTCAGCCCCATCCAAGGCTTTATGCCCAGCCTAATTCAAAGCCTGGCTCTTTCCTCAACACCATAGCTGCCTCTCTTGGGTCGCATCACTGGTGTTGGGGGCTCCGGGGGGCTGCTGGCCCATCAGTGAGCCCAGCAGTGGGGTGCTGGTTTCAGTTTGGCCCCGCAGCCTTGCTGGCCGGCTCTGAGCAGCTTCACCGGCCTGGCTCCCTGGGTCACGGGAAGGCCAGCAGAGGGGCCGAACAGAGAGGGGGCAACTCCAAGGATCTGAAACCAATTTAGTGCATCTTAACCAGCATTAAAAAAATGGAATGGGAAATTCCATGTAGTAATACCCTTACTTAGTAAGTGTATCATTCATAACATTTTTCATTTTTAAAATACATAACTATGCCAATGTTGTTGGGCTGTGATATAAAATGTGCTTTTTGCTACAGTAGGTCTCAGCCAAAAAAAGTTTAAAACACAATGGCCTAAACTTGTGCTGTCCAAAACAGTACCCCTTAGCCCCATGTGGCTATTTAAGCTAACTAAGTTCCATTTCTCAGTGGCTCTAGCCACATTCTAAGTACCCAATACCACATGGGGCTAGTGACTACTGCCTCAGATGGCAGTAGATATGGAACATTTCCATCCCTGCAGGAAGTTCTATTAGCACTGATGCAAGCCGCCACCACCAACCTGGACCCATCTACACAGCGTACAGGAGCAGTGTACTGACAGACACTGCACGCACAGCGGTGCTCGCTGAATGAAGGACACCATCAGGAGCTGGGGGGAAAAATCTCGCCTTCTTAGTGCATTTTCTTTATCAAAAAAGAAGACACAAAAATCTCTGGATAGCTTCCAACCAAACGTGCGTGATCAGCAAGAAGGGTTAAAGAAAAGGTCAGGTGAGAAGATCTACCAGGGTTACTGAGCCCTCCCTGGGTGCAGGGCCCTGCCCTGCATCTCCAAGGAAAAGGAGAGGCCGCACTGCCACACAGTCCCCAGAAGGCCATCCTCAGAACGCCCCAGCACCACTGGTGGTAAAAGGGCCAGATGCCCACCGAAGTGAGTATCATAAGTGAACAGCCTCTCCTTCAGGCTTCAAAACCCCTGGGCACTGCTCAGCCTTACCTGGTAACTGTAAGGGGCAGACAAAGGCTTTGGCAATGTGCCCGCATCACACTTGCCATTCTCCTCAGTCTGCGCTCTCTCTGCTGCCAGTCAAGGGAAACAGAAGAGAGTGGACTTGTCATGGTGACTAACTTGCTACCTTTCCAGAGAGGCAGTGCTTCTGGAAATACTGGCTAAGTGAGGACAGTAAACGGGGATTCTGTTAGACCCAAGCCAATCAGGTGTTTCCTCAGTGCCGGGCACGCCAGCACCAGGCGGCCACAGGACTGCTTCAAATACTGTTGGAAAGACCAGACCCACCCCTTCCTGTCCGACCTGAATTCTCTGGGGGCTTGCCCAGGTTCCAGCTAACCCACTGTGACACTACTGTGCTCCTCTTGCAACAGGTTTTCTGTGTCCCACCACATGTCCCGGCATCTGACTGCATAAAGCACTATCCACAAGGTGTGCTAAGGTGACCCTGCTTCTCATCCTGTCATTAGCTTGCAGGTGATCCATGGAGAAATCACAGGTTACAGTTCTCTGACTTTAAAATCTTCATCATCTTATCAGCTACTCTAACAAGCATTATCTACCATCACGCCTCCACCCAGGGCCAGCGTCTGGGATTTCTCTCACTGCCCGACCGCTACCCTGCAGTCCTCCTGGGGCCCCCCCAACCCGCCCACACCACGCATGGCGCCCTGGTCCCAGCTCCAGCTGGCCAGGGAGCACCCCGCCCACCATGCCGCCTCCCTTTAGAACCTTAACTCTTCCTCCTTCCACTCCCCGGCACCTTTAGGCATATGATATGAACACAGTAGCTCATTAAATTACCAGCACAAGAAAGAGAAAGAATCTACACGTTTTAGTATATATTTCCTAAGAATTGTCATTTTCATGGAATCTCCCAAAAGCAGTATTTTTTAAACTACTGAGTAAGACCCTCATCAGTCTCAAAACCAATTCTGTGGGTTAAAAAAAATAGGCTGCGCTGGGGGTTACGGGGTGGAAGGACTGAGCAAAAAAGAACCAGGACTCACGGACAGGGACAACAGTGTGGCGATTGTCGGGGGGAAGCGGGGTGGGTGCAGGTGAAAGAGGGTATGCGGGGAATAAGTGGTAATGGAAAAAAACATAATAAAAACAAATAATAGTAAAAAGAAAGCTAGGAAATATCAAGGTCATCAAATACAGTGTTGTGAAAGTTTAACTTTAGTTGTGTGTGTGCGCGCACATATGCTGGGTCATGATGTAAAATGCATTTCTTATAGGAGACCCTAATCAAAAAACATTTGAAAAATCACCATCCTACACAAGGACTCCTTGAACTTTAATGAGCTCACAAATCAGCCAAAAAGGTTATTTGAAAAATGTGAGTCCTTGGACCCTACTTTTGGGTTTTCTGATTCCCTCAGTCTGAGTGAGATATGGTCCAGAAATCTACTTTTTTAAAGCCAATCCCCGTCGGATGCAGAATACTGTCCTGAGAGTGTGGAACCCAGCTTATGGAAGCTCTCCCAACACATTTAAGATGTTCTTTCAAAAAAGTGCAGGAGAGATCTTCAGCAAAGGTGGTGATGACTTTTGGCCAAATACAGTCCCTCAGGTCACGTGACAGAGGTAACTGACTTCCTCCCGGCCTTCGTCCCCATGCCAGCCACAGAAAGCCTACCTTGACTCCCCTCTCTCCTGAATCCATCCCCTTCCTGCCATTCAACTACTTCCTCTCCTTGAGAACTGAACTCAGATGGCTTTCTCTACCAGGAAACCTTTGTTAACCATATCGTTCTGTCCACCTAAAGGATGTGGATATCTTCAGCATCTCTTAATTCATGCCTCTCACGTGCTTTCTGTGTCGTACCTGAAGTCTGTACGGCACCTGCATCTTCATTTACCTAAGCTCCCCCACTAGATCCTAAGTGCCCCAACAGTGCCTGACGGTTTCGGTTTTACAACGCCAGGGGCCCTTACAGCCATGGCTCTGCTCACTAAAGACTTGCTGGCTCCGTGCACGTCTGGACTTGTGAGCTCTGGGGTCTTGACATCCCATCAATCTGAAGCAGCATGGCCTATCCTACAGATTCTCAGAGGTGGAGGGAGGGGGATGGTGTCAAGAGGCCAGCTCTGGCTGACCTGGGGCTGGGTCACTTCTCCTGTCTGGGCCTTGGTAAATTCATCTGTAATGGGAGGACGCCAGCCTGAAGGGCACACAGCCACTTCCCCAGAGAGATCAGGGGCAGCCAGGGTCCCTCTCACCTGACTAATCAAACAGGCACACCTTTCTGCCCTGCCGCCAGAGTCTGTGACCTGAGGAAGCCGAGAAGGCGGGGAATGGTCACCTGGGAGGGCCCTCGCAGTCAGTGTCTGCCTACCTGCCCTGGGCTTTGACTGGTTTATGAGGTGACTTTGCTGTCAGCTTGGAAGCAGAGTACCCAGTCCCATGGAAGGAGCTGGATCCATTTCAGAGGAAAGGGAGAACAAAGGCTGTGCAGAGGAACAGCTGGGCTGCTGAATGTTTCATCTGATGTGGGCAGGGGGAGTAGGCAAGTTTTCCCTTCTTCACTGCTTCTTCAGCCCAGGTCCGATCCACCATGGGGCTCCAGGCAGGGCTCTGTGCCCAGAACCCCTCTCTGCCCAGAAGGCAGGAGGAGAAAGAAGGAAAGAGTGCACAGTTGCAGCCAAAGTAAGAGTGAAAATGTGAAAACCACAGTGGATGACACATGGGCAGTGCACTCACAAGTGTCCACACTCAGAGCCTGAAAAAATATACCTAGGGACACGCCCAGCCCAGCAGGCCCCCAAATTCGGCTGCTCCCTGCTCTTCCTCCTCCTCTCGGATCCCTGCTGCTCCACGTCAGCACGCCACACACGGAGCTAATGCCCCGCTCTGTGGCAGAAGTGAAGAGCAGCGCTTCTACATGAAGGCGACATGGCAATACAAAGCCACTTAAGTTTCCTCATCCACAAAATGGATAGTGACACACTGATTATTGCGATCACTGAGACCACACATGTAAAGGGCTTACCGCAGGACTTGGCCCACAGCGAGCACTCAGTTAGCAGTGCCTGTTACCATGACTGCCCTTGCTCCTGGCCCCCCCTTGAGGACCTCTCTCTTCTCCCTCCGCGTCCTCACCTTCTGCTTAGTGCTGAGGGGCTGTGACTTCAATTTTTCATCCTTGCTCTTAGAAATCCTCAGGAACTGTTTGAGGTCCCCCTGAGGGAAAAGCAAAAGTCTCTGTCATATCAGAGCCCAGCCATTACATCCAAAGCATCAAACCAAGCAGGTGCTCACAGGGCACCTGCCTGGCAGATGGTGAGAAGCCTTGACCTAAATGCCGACCCCAGCCTGGACCAGCCCTCCCATGGGGGAAGTCCAGTGGGAATTAAAAAATACATAGGAGGCGCTCCCCAGAAGCTCTCAGTCAGAAAGAGAGGACTGTCGTGTCTACCCTCAGAGGACCCCCAGGCAGGCAGCTGTCAAAGCCCCTGCCCTCGAGGAGCCAAAGGAAAAACACAACACCCCCTGCTGACCCCTGTCCTTCAGAGGCTTATTACCTAACAGGCAGACAAACGGCGGCAACACCAGCAGCAGAAACACACACGAAGCACTCATAAACACTTCTGATGGGAAGATTAAGGATTATTCCTCCCCTTCCTGCCCCAGAGCTGGAGAGTTTGGTAAGCAGCCTTTTGAGGAGCAGGGGTAGTTCAGCGTAGGTCAGTCAGGGAACAAAGAGGAAGGGGCAGGTCTGGGCATGGGCTAATGCGGGTGCCTCACATGGGGATGTCAGGAAGGAAGGAAAGCGAGTTCTGATTAAGTTTATTCTCAAGGGGGGACAAGCCCTAGGGGAAAAAGAAAAGTAACAAACCACAGAAAACCAGAGTCAGGGAAGAAGATGGGGAACGTATCCCAGCCGTGTGCAGAGTGAGAAGCTAGGAGGAACTTGGGACCGACCCCTGGACATAGGGCTGGCAGAGGACGTGCTGGTCAAGGGAAGGCAGGTGCCGGAGAGCTACGGGGCGGAGGGGGAGCCCGGGGAGTGGGCGGGAGGCTGGACATCTCAAAGTGGCCACAGCAGGCAGGCCAAGGCTGAGACCGCATGGGACGAGGTTCCCACAGGCCCCCCACCACCCCTGAAAGGTCACTGCCCTCCTGAGAGACCCAGGTCCCCTGCCAGCAGCATACCAGGTCTACATACTCCAGCACCATGTAGTGGGGTTCGGCCTCCCGACACAGCCCCAGGAGCCGCACCACATTGGCATGGCTCAGCTTCCCAAACATCTCAAACTCTCTCCGGAAGTCCAGCTGCTGCTGCTCGTCCCGACTCTGCAGGCTCTTCACAAGCACCAGGGTCTCTGCCACCCCCTCCTCCAAGCCCTGTGCCTTTGCCAGGAACACCTCTCCAAACTCGCTTTTTCCTGTGGGCACAGATCTGAGTCAGCCAGCTGCCCGCACCCAAGCAGAGGAAGCCCCTGACTAGGAACGGTGCCTCGCCTTTCTCTGTCACACAGTGAGGAGACTTTGCTGCTCCCCACCTGCCTGGACTGAGCAATAGCCTAGTTCAGCTGTGTGACCCTGGGCAAACCCCCTGCCTTCTTACTCTGGGCTTCAAGTCTCAAACAGTAAAATAAAGGAGTGGGAATAATATTCAGGGCTTTCCAAAGGATGGTTTGTATGAGAATTTTAGGTGGCTCATGATAAACATGTCTTAGGTTTATGTGTTTACAATAGTCACGTGTTTAATGTATGCTCAGAAAAAATTTAACTGGTGTTAAATCCCTAATTTCTCACATTTTTCCCCCTAGAACAAAGCTAACTTTAGTTAAGCTTTAATAAACAAGGAGTTGACCTAAAGAAAAAAATCAAGTCAGTAATAAATAAGAGCCCTGAGGGGTGTGGCTCAATTAGGTTGGACATCATTTTGCAAAGCAAAAGGCTGCCAGTTCAATTCCCAGTCAGGGCACATTTTCTCTCCCTTTCTCCCTCCCTTCCCTTCTCTCTAAAAATAAATTTTAAAAATATTTTTAGAAACACACACACAGGAATGACAAAAGTTGTGCAGGTGGGATCTGAATGTCAGGCAATGGGGACACACTGGACTATATCTCCCCTGTGCTCCCCCCATCTCTAAGGTTCTAGGCTTCAAGGACCTCAGAGCCACCAGCCATGACATAGCCTCACAACAGATTCAGTGACCTAGAGCTAAGCAGAGGGGTTGTGGCCAAGGTAACATACCCAGGGTGGTGATGGGCTGCAGACTGGCCCTCGGGAAGTGCATCTTATCACTTGTGCTGTGGCGTTTGTTGGTGGCTGCAGGACCAGAGCCCAGGCTGGTCAAGGCCACTTCCTCTTGGATTTCCGCTGAGGGCTGCCCATTCTGCAAAGGCCCACCTGGGAAGAAGGGGTACAAAGGAATGTCAAGATGAGACCTGTCATTCAGGTCACCACGGAGACCTGTTTTCTCCCTCAATCCCCTACTTCTACCAAATGGGTCCAGTCGCAGTGTTCCGCACAAAAGGGCCAATCCAGCTGATGAACTTACTGATGCAACGGATTATAACCTCTGAAACGGAACAAAATGTACAAGTCTCGTTTGAATCACTGGTTCCTAGACCCCATATACACATAAGGGTATTGGCTTCCACAGGGCCTTCTATATGCAAAGCCCTAAGCAGGCACAAAGGGGAAGTCACAAAAAGGGCGACCCAGGCCCTGCCCTTAACACCTCAGTTTATACGAGAGACCCAGAAATGACCCTAGGGAGCTCCCAGTTGGAGGAGAGGGAGAGTCGGAGGAGGTAAAACAGATTACCCTTGGAAGAACTCAAAGACCAACAGGGGGCAGACAAGATGTGTACCAGAAACATGAATATATGCACTAATTATATCAGTGGCTTAGGGCCACAGGGAGAAGGCAGGGAAACACAGGAAGCTGGCACAAGAGGCTCCAATGAGGAAGTCTTACGCCAGGTTACTCAAAAGCCAAGGCCCTGGAAACTGGCCAACTCCAAGCTTCCAGTAGGGGTGGAAGCTCTGCTCTGGCCACAGCAGCAAGTCCCAGATCCATGGCCACCAGCTCCCTCCAGTGCTGCAGCTGTCTGCGACGGCCGCAAGAGGGCGCTCATGACCTGCACATGGCACCACCTCCGTCCTCCAAGGGGCCCCTCACCGTTGAGGCACTCCATCTCGGGCTCCTCGCCCTCTGGCTGCTTCTGAAGCCGCTTGGCCTTGCAGCGCTTCTTGCAGTAGAACATGAGACCCAGGACGGCAATGATGTAGGCCACGGCGGCGCCCACGGACAGTCCAATGGTCTGGATCATCTTGTACGGGGGAGGGCTGCCCGGGCCCTCCGACTCCTCCAGCACAGGCTTGTCTGAGAGACACACAGAGAGGTCTGGGCAGGGGATGCTGAAGCAAACCCAGCCCTACTTCTCTACCAGCCCCTCCATACCCCACACATATGACAACCCCCCAGATACTTGAGGGCCTGGTCAAGCCAGAGAGACCTGAGTAGGGTCACCACTGTCACTGGCTTTAACGAGTGCCAGGTCCCCGGGCCCCACCACAGTCATACAGTGCTGAAGGAGTTGAGGCCAGTGATTCCCTGGCTGACTGTGTGTCCAAACGCCAGACTGGGGACCCGCATAAAAACCATACTGTCAGGATGCACTACGAACTCCCAGTTTGCTATCAAGCTTCTTAAGACCTGATACTGTGAGTCAGGCACTGCACAGAGCAGGTTCTTCAACAAACATATGTGTAGAAGGGCTCTTCTGGTCTAGGGGTTTTCAATGGCCTAGGGTCTTATGGGAAAAGTTAGGGGAACTAAGGAAGAGAGACTAAAGGGGACACAACGCAGGATCCCTCAGCGCCCAGACATACCCAATGGCCCCAACCAAGGGGCCTGTCACTTCACTGTTATCTAGTAAAGCATACTTTGTCTAGAAAAACAATTTTGCTGCTAACCAAAAAAGTTTGAGAACTTTTCATTTAAACCATTCCCATTTTACAGAGGCAGAAACAAGCCCTGGAGAGGAAATAGCACCTACCTCTAATGGCCCACAGCTGGTTAGCAGCAGGTGCAGCCAGACCCAAACCCCAAGTCCCTGACCCTAGCTGGGGCCTTTTATCTGACATATCATCCTCTCTGGACCCCTAGGACAAAGGAACCTTTTCTTGCTGCATCCTGACCTGATCCTCTCCCCCTCAACCCAGGGAGACGTGGAGTTGCTGCAAGAGACCCAAGAGAAAGCATTATAGGACAAGTGTGCCCCCACAATACTCTCTCTCTCGCTCTCTCACGTCAGCTGTGGGATGTTAAGTAAATGACACCCAACTCTAAGCAAGGAAACTGAGACTGCGCCATGGTACAGCAGAGGGGACACAGCCGACTCCCACCCCACCACAAAAATGGTCTAAGTGCCTTCTGTGTACAAGGAGCCGATGGTACAAAGGTAAGAAAGAAGCCTGGCCCCACTGCTTCCTATCTCCAGCCCATACCCACGACGTAGAGGGGGGCCTCTGTGTGCTTGATGTTGCAGCTGTTGCCCGCAATGCAGGTATAGCGCCCCGAGTCCTCAGGGGCCACATCGTGGATCACCAGGGAGCCATTCTGGAAGATGTGCATCCTGCCAGGAGAAAAGCCACAGCACTGCTCATCTCGCCAGCTCCTGGGAGACCAGGGTCAGAAGAGGTGGGGAGGGGTGCGGTGGGTATGGGAGGGAGTTGGCCCTACCTAGGTCCCAGCTTGGTGGGGTCCAGGATGCGGTCTTTGCCCTTCCACTGAATGAGAGGCTTGGGGTCCCCGTGGGCCTCGCACCGCAGCAGAGCTGTGTGGCCCTGGTACACGGTTGTGCGCTCTGGCTCTACCTTGAAGGTGATGAAAACTGGATGGGAAGAGCCCAGCGAGGGGCAGGGAGTAGTGAGCAATGGGGCTGGCAGGATGCAGGCTGCTGCCGCACAGGGCCCGCCAGCCCCGGCCCCGGGGCCCTGCCACAGTCGCACCTGCCACAGTAAGCTGGACGTGGGCACGGATCTGGCCCTGCAGCCCATTGGAGGCGATGCAAGTGTAGTTGCCAGCATCATCGCGGGTCACCCTAGAGAAGTGCAAGGTCCCAGCGTTGTCTTTCACCCACTCCGGGAGGCTGCTCCCGTCTGCAGGGGCAATAAAGGGAAATTATGGGACTGACCAAATTTCCATGGCGGGCTGGCTGGCGGGCTGGCAATGCCCTCGGCCACTCACACCTCCTCAAGAACATGTCTGAACTCCTGACCACCCACAGATGACATCCAAACTCCTAAGCCAGGAATTGGGAAGCCCCCGTTTTTCACTCCTTTACCAATTTTTCAGTCTCACCTCGCTGCCCTGTATGACATTCCACTCCTGCAAAGCTGCACTTCTGATTGGGCCTCGAATTGGCCCTGTTCTCACCTGCCACTCCTCCCTCCTAGAATCCATTCCTGCTCTCTGTCACCATCCCAGGCTTCATACCCACTGTGAGCCACACATCCCACGGAACACCCCCCAGACCACCTGAGCGGAGAGCCCACTCCCTCCTCAAACCTACAACCTTCTCTCTAACTCATTGTTCATGAGAATGTAAAAATGGCCCAGCCCTTTAAAAAACAATTTGGCAATCCATATCAAGGGTTGTAAAAATGTGCATACTCTCTTATACATAATTATTCCATTTCTGGGAATCTTTCCCAAAGGAAATAAAGCCAAGTCCAGAAAAGAGCTTTGGCTTTAAGATGTTTATTGCAGTAATAAAAAGAAAGAAAGAGAAAGACAGACAGAGAGGGAGAGCGGGCGGGAGGAAGGGAGATGAGTAGCAACCCAAATCTCCCACACTTAGGGAAAATTTAAGTGAATTATAGTGAATTCAATCACTGAAATATTATCACAATCATCAAAGCCAATATTTATGTATAAAAACATGGAGTAATGCTGATAATGTTAGGTAAAAAATATAAAATTACAGTTATCTTCATCTTCTGTTTTTATAGTAAGCATGTCTTACTCATGTAAGCTTAATAAGTGAAAAGGTACAATAAAATCACTTTGTAAAAACAGAAAAAGAAAAGGGCACACACCCAGAGATAATGGATGGTGGGATTATACATTTTTTTTCTCCTGAAATTTTCTAAAGGGGCCCAGGTTACTTTTTTGTTGGAAAGAATGACTTTTTTGAAAAGGGACAAGGGAGAAGGCATTACGGTGCTACCTGGCCCAATCCAATCACTTGTCCTGAGTGTCTCATATGTTGTCTAATACTATAATCTGACCTCTTTTGTGTCTGGCTTTTTTCTTCCTCGGTGGGCTATAAATCTGCCCTGCATTCCTCGTCTGTCCCCAAAGTTCCTGACTTGGTCCTGGGCTCTCGCGGGGTACGCAGACACGCCCACATCTGACCAGCAGACGGTCCGCCCGCCCCCCTTCCCCTGCTCCCATGGTACTGACCTGCTCGTACCCACTTAATAGTGGGCTTCTCCCGGCCTGTGGCTGAGCAGGGCACCGTGGCCTCCTTGTCAAACTCCATGCATTGCTGTGGCCGGGGTGGTGGTGTGAACTTGAGCTTTTCTGTTTCAATACAGGGAAGGCAGGTGGGTGGAAAGAGGAGGAGTTGAGGCAGCTAGACAGGCCAGGGCAGGCCTGAAGCTCCTGGACCCTGCTATCCTTCCCCTTTACTCTCTTGCCCGCCAGGTAAGGCGCTCTCCCGACGCATGCCAGCTCACCCAGCACTTGCACACGGGCTTGGGCCTCAATGCTGCCAGCTGGGGTGCTGCTTACGCAGCGGTACCATGTCCCATCATACACCTCCACGCTGTTGATGCGTAAGGTCCCATTCTTGGAAACCTCGAACCGCGAGTCCTGCAACACAGAAGAGGTCTTGGCCTGAACCCCCACCAACATGGAGATAGCATCAGAGAAGGGCGCCACGGAGGGGAGCACAGAGGGAAGGAGTGGGCGAGGATTCCACCCCACCCACCCGCAACAGTCGTCACTCTCACCTCCGAGATGAGCATCTGGTTTCTGTACCACGTGACTGTGGGCTTCGGTGTGGCCCGAGTCAGGCAATGCAAGTAGCCTGGCTTGCCCTCCTCTAGCTGGCTGTCTTCAGGCTTCTTCAACCACGTGGGCACAGCTGGAAGGACAGGGAGGAGACAGTGAAGGTTAAGTATTTTGTCTACAAAACTAAAGGATCCAATCCCAAGAAATTCTAATATCCCGTTAGGTCTTGGGCTCAGAACCCTGTTCCAGTGATAACTGTTGCAGTTATCTCTCAGTGATGGCCTACATGCTGGCACCTTTTGAACACTGCCTTTGTTAATAGTCACAGGAAATGCCCAAGGTGTGTATTTCTATACCCATTTTACAGCTGAGAAGACAGAGATTCAGGGCAGTAATGGCGATTTGCTAAAACATGACAGAGACAGAAATAAACTCTTGTCTGTATGACTCCAGAACCTCTGTTCTTTTTATTACACCGTAACTTCAGATCTCTGTTCTGTTCACTCATTCCCTGAATGATCGCACCCAGTCCGCAGCCTTCAACACCAGAGGAGTGGGTGCTGCTCAAGCGTGTACCCCGACTCCTGACCGTCGCCATGAGCTTCAGACTTGCAAAGCCCACTGCCTATGAACATCCCCAGCGGGCTACCTGACAGGCATCTCAAACTTTAGATGTGCAAAACAGAACACCTAATTTCCCCCAAAACGTGCTCATCCCTGCTTTCCCATCTCAGTAAATATAATCACTATCCAGCAATTACAGAAGTCAAAAACCTGGTCCTGACTTCCCTCTATGTAGTCCCATCCCCCTTCACACTTATTCTATACAAACCCTCCAAAACAGATCCTAAATGTGACCACCTCTCCCCTTTACCATCTCTGTTCTAGACCCTTTAACCCCTCCCCTCTACAAGTGCAGTCGTCCCCTAGCTGGTCGCCCTGTTTTGACTCTTGCCCCTAATACTCTAGTCTTCACAGAGCACCCTGAGTGATCTTTTGAAAACGTCACTCTCCAACTCAGAACTCAGCAAGGATTTCCCGTCCTCTAACTTGGTGTGAAAGACTATTTGCAAAGATGGTTGTAAACAGCTGTCCCATCCCTTTGGTCTCTTTGTAACATGATGTTGCCACTTCCATGCAGTCTGCTTCCCTGCCGCCTGGAACCTGGGTGGCTTGCTTTGTCCAACCGTGGAAATGACACTTGGCAATTCTAAGCCAATGTGTGAGAGGCCGTGCAGCTCCTGAGCCAGGCTCCCTGTAAGGAAGCCTGAGCTAGCGCGCTGGAGCGGCCACAAGGAAGAGAAGCGAGATACCCTGTGCGATACAAGTGCCAGACCTGTGAGCGAGGCCGTCAGGGAAGAACCCGCCACCACCTACCCTATCAGCCGACTGCAAATGCTCAGGAGCCCAGCCAACGGCACACGGGGTTGACGGGCCGTCCCAGTGGAACCCTGCCCACAGCACTGTGAGTGAAACTATTGTTTAAGCCACTTGTTAACGAGTTACTTGTTATGCAGCAAGAGATAACTGAGAGACATGGAATACAAGCCTGTATTCTCACATGGCCCCACATGATTTAGTCTCCAGCTCTCAGCCTCAACCACGCCCACCACCACTTATTCAACTCAAGCCACACAGACTGCTGCTGTCCCTCCACGTATGAGCCATGTCTCAGGGCCTATCCACTTGGCTCCCTCCTTAATTTAAGTATCAGCTCAAATGCCACCCTCTGGAGTTTTCCCTAAACTTCCCCCGGTCCTCATGTCTCTCTCTGTCACTCATCCTATTTTATTTTCCTTCATGGCTCCACTGCCACCTAAAATGATGTATTTGTTCATTTAACTGTTTCTCTTGTTTGCTTTGTTGATCCTACTAGACCAGGAGCTCCACAAGGAGAGGGAATTTTGTCTGCTTTGTTCATTGCCGCATTCCCAGGACTGGGAACAGTGCCTAGCACACTGAACGCACTCAATAAATCTGTTGACGGAATGCAGTCACGGAGCTCTCCCCCCCCCAGCTCTGGCCTCCACCCCTCCATACCTCATCCAGGCCTGCACGCCTCATGCACTCCACAACTTCACGGCCCCCTTTGCAGAGCGCAGGGCCGGACACAAGGCACGGCTCAGGCAGTGCCTGCCGAACGACCGAGGCACGCCAGCCTCTCCACCGCGAGCAGGCAGAAGCCATCACCTGGAGCACTAGTCAAACTCTCCATCTGGGCCCCACCCCCAAAGAGTGTGGGTCAGATCTGGAGTGGGGTCCCAGATTCTGCATTTTTTAAAAGTGCCCCCAAAGGAAAAAGTGACCCACAGACTGAGGCCGGGGGAAGGCTGCCTGGCTGCCTGCCTGCATCTGCATGCCGCTGAGAAGGTGAGCACTCCGTGCGCCACACAAGTTACCTGCGCGCTGCGGCTTCCTCCGAGCCAGGCTCCTGAGCACCCGGAGAGCAGGTCTCCGAGGTTTCAGTGTCTCTAATGTATTAGTATTGTCACAACTTCAAATTTACAAAGCCCTTCCCGTATTCAAAATCTTTTTGAAGTTTTGAAATTTATCCACGTAAAAGGATGTCAAGATAAGTGGAGGAAAGAGGTTGCAAAATTGTGTGTATGTGTATAAGAGTTTATCTTGTATATCACTTTATATTATAAAGTTTTGGAACAGGTATGGTATAAAGGAAAAAGGTAAATTTCTATGCCTATAGCAAGGGTATATAGGTCTTTACCATATGCACTATCAGTCTCTTCATTGAAATATTTAATGCTTTCCCCCATCCTTAGTTCACAAGCAATGTGTTCATTGTAGAAATTTAGAAAGTATAACAGTAAAATAATTATCACAAAAGTTTGTCCAACGTCATCTTTCCAAAAAAAACTTTTTTTTAAAACCTATTTCACTCATCTTTCTGACAATCCTGTAGGGCAGGTGAGTTATTAGCCCCATTTTATGAATGAGGAGGCAGAGACCTAGCAAGGTGGGTGACTTGCTATTCACGGTCACTCCGTGCGTTGCAGACAGAGTGGGACCTGGGTCTCTAGACTCCATTCCATTGCTCTTTCCTCTGATGCCAGAGGACCATTTTTCTGTTGAGAGCTGCCACGCAACCTCAGTGCCTGGCTCTGACAGCCCCTCCTCGCAGCTAAATGATTTCCGGCCCGCAGGGAGCGGAGCTGAGAGGGCCTGGGGTGAGCACCAAGGAAGCCTCTGTCCATCGCACCCAGAGCCCAAGACCTCCTGGGACCTGGGCTCCCCTCCACCTCTCCTCCACCTTCAGGGCAAGGGTGCTCACTGGCCACAGTGATGTTGACATCCTGTCGCCGCTGACCAGCCAGGTTGGCTGCATGGCAGGTGTAGACACCGGCATCACTCTCGGCAGTACTGGCAAACACCAGCTCACGGCCCTTTTGGTAGACTCTGCCGTGGGCGGGCAGCCGCACCCCTGCGTGCTCCCACCACGTGCTGGGCTCCGGCAGACCCTGGGGAGGCAGGCACGCCACACGCTCCTCGCTGCCGACCGTGAACACCCGAGGCTCAAGTGGCGGCATATCTTCAATCTCTGCACGGATATGAGCAGGAGGGAAAGAGCCGATCACTGTGTGTCTCAGGATACTTGACATTCTTCCATCATAAGCTTTGTCCCTTTCCTGCACAAACTCTCCTCTATGACCCTCAGCATCTCCTCTTCCTACCCTAGCACCGTCGTCCTCCCTCTGTCCCAAGCTGTTCTTTGAGTGGAAACTGGAACCTAAATCTCTACGTGCCAACATTGTTGAAGGCAGCCCCCACCTCGACACCCCAGACCCAGAAACCCACCTGCCAGGTGAAGCGTGGCCTCCAGGACGACGGGAGGGCCCCTCTGGCCTTGGCCTATGCAGCGGTAGACCCCGGCATTGCGCGACCGGACCTGGGTCAGCAGCAGAGACCCATTGGCAAACACGGTGGCTCTGCGGAGGTGTAGGGAGCTGCGGAGGGGAAAGAGTGCTAACTGAAGGAAGTGGTCCACAGGCCTCCTCTGGAAGGGCATGCAATGGGACCCCGCCTCACAAAGGTCGGAGACATTGGAAGGTATCAGCCAGGAACAGGGCAGAGAGAAGGAAGCCGGGCTCACGCCGCGTCAGTGTGTGTGTGCATGTGTATGTGCAGCACACGTTCGTGTGTTCGCTCATTCATGTGCACGAGCAGGCATGTGTTTCAACTACAGGAGACTTGGCTTTTGCGGTGGCAAGGTAGGCAGCAGAGTTTAAATGAGACAGCAAGTAACTGACAGTGTGCAACTGTAGGAACAGAGAGGCCACCTTCCTGCGGGGTCAAGATAAGGCTGCTGGCCAGGCACCCAGCTCCAGCAGTCAGAGGCCCCTCGGCCAAACCAGATGAAACACGGAAGGTATCTGCAGGGCTGAGGCCTAGGGAGCCACACCCCCAAGGACCACGGCCACACCTGCCACCGCAAAGGTGCTTTCTGCTTTCACAGGGCCTGGGCGAGGACAGAAGTCCCATGAGAGGGGCTGGCGCACCTTCTAGAAGTGTTTGTTTCCTCCAAAACACATGCATGTGTGTGCCTGTATGCATGTGTATCTGCAAGGTATCTTTGTCATCCTATCCAGCCTGTGATCACTTAGGTCCCCTGCGTCCCCACATCCCTGGGTCCTTACCCCCCAATGTCAGAAAATCCACATGGGCAGGAGGTAATGGGGGAAAGAAGCAGAGCCACTGCTAGCTCATACAATGCCTTTGGGGGAAACTAGGAAAAGATGCCCTTCCTGGAGACTTCCCTTTGTTGGACTCATTTAGTAAAAGCAAGACATCATACTGCCCTCTGCCGGAAATCTGAAGTAATACACATACAGATCTAGGATGTCTGTGATATGACTTGCATTCCCTTTTAGAGCAGGCGCTGTGCAATACACGACCTGTACCACCGTTCTTGAAGGCCCCTGCCAGATGCCTTACCGGCTGCGGTTAGTGATGGGAGTCTCATCCTCAAAGAACCACTGCAGGCTTGGGGGTGGCTGGGCTGAGAACTGACAGTGAAACATTGCCTCCTCGTTCCTTGCCACTACCACATCCTGCGGCGCCAGCACCACCCTGGCAAAGCTCTCATCTTGAGAGGGAGAAGCACAGGCATGTGAACAGACAGAGTGAGGAGGCCCCTCCCATCCCTGCCCCACCGGCTCTGTCCCCACACCAGGCTCACCAGCAATGCTCAAGGTAAAGTTCTGGCTGCTACAGGTCTGACCAAAAGCATTGTGGGCACAGCAGGAGTAGACACCACTATGCTCAGGGCTCGCTGGCCGGAGGGTCAGGTTCCGCTCCTTGCTGCTGATTGTGTGGTTGCTCTGACCCTCAGAGAGGGGGCTCCCATCTCGGAACCACTGATAGGTGGGCCTGCGGGACAAGAGGGTCGGCAACAGGAAGGCAGGGGTACTCAGATGGGCAGTGGATGGGACACAGAGTCAGCAGAGGGTCAGAGCGACCCCTCAGTTTACACATGGGGAAACACAGAGGCCCGGCGAGGGGAAGTGACTTGCACAAGGGCACATAGCAATTCAGGGGCAGAATGAGGCTGAGATCCTAGATCTCTTAGGTCCCAGGATCCAGGATCACTCCACAGCGCAATGTTGCCCTTCAAGTCACCAGGGGCAGGGGCTGTTACAGAGTGAAGCGAAATGCATCTGAATAGAGTCCAGGACTTGGGGGAACATCCTTGCCTGTCTAGAATAACCCTCTCCATCCCCATCCTCTAAGTTGGCTGCTTACCGAGGGTGCCCGTCAATGTGACATCGCAGAGTGACCTGAGTCTGTGGCTGGATCTCGGCTTCCAAGGCTGGATGCTTCAGGACCACAGGACCAGTCTCAAGCCCTGTGGCAGAAGCCATGGTTGCACAGTGAGGAGCAGAGCAGAAAAAGTGTGGGAAGGCAGAGGGGAAAGCGGACAAGCAGGAAACAGGGAATCTGGAGGCTCTGACCCAAAGGACAGTGGAGGGAAGCCCCATGAAGCTAGGGCTGGGGCTACAGATGGACCACCAGAGATTGAGCACCTGCTCGGTCCCTGGCAGTTCAAGCCTGACACTTGGCTATGTTGCCTCACTGCTCTTGCCATTTGCAAAAGCATCCAGCAGATAAATGGTCCAAGACTTGAAAGGGGAAAAATGTGAAAAAAATCAAAACTTTTAACTTCCTCATATCCACACAGCAGAAAGAGCTGACCACACCGCATCCCGCATACCCCATTCAACTGGGAATGGGAGAAGCTGAGGGAAAGGAGGGTCCTGCAGGGCTCAGGAGTTGAGGGTCTGGTGCGGGACACGCATAGCCCCAGCTCTCACATTTGATGTTGAAGGAAGCGTTGGCACTGCGGGCCTCCTCTCCAGTAGCCTTATCCCGAGCCACGCACTGGAATGCTCCCGAGTCCTGCAGCCGGTCCACAGCCGCGAAGCTCAGGCTGCTGCCCTGGGCGAAACGCCGCTCAGTGTCCTGGACAGGGGCTCCATCCAGCAGCCAGTACACATGTACAGAGCCTGACGCCTCGACCTCGCAGCGGAGCAGTGCCCGGCGCCCCTGCAGGGCATCCTGGGAGGATGGCTCCTTGATGAAGACGATGGTTGCCTGGGCACCTGTAGATGGGGACACAGGAGAGACAGGGTCAAGAGGAGCTGTTGTTCTAACACAGGTCACCCATCGCCCTATACACGGAAGGAAAGGGGCTGTGCGTACACAGAAGACACCCAGTAAGTACAAATGAGAAGGCCCATGAAACCACAAATGCCAAGTGTCTAAAGAACTTTGACATGGTGCTGGCTCCACAGGATGCCAGTCTGAAAAGGGACACAGGACAATTATACAAAATTCATCACAAATGAATGGTGTGAGCATGGAAGAGGAAGCCCCAAGGGCTGGGGTGGGAGGTGTCCGGTGGCACACAGGAGGCTACCTGGAAGAAGAGGGCCTCGAACCTGTGGGACCAGAGCATAGGAGGTCTTGATGCTGGGCTGAAAAGCAGGGGACAGTAGCAGGCAACCCTCCCCATCCTCTTCAGGATCCACGATGTTGAGCAAAGTTAAAACTAAATCATAATCTAAAGAGCTTCTTTCAAGAATTACGGGTACTCACACACATAGAGGGTCCTCAGGTCAGGGAGAGAACTTAGAAACTCTGCAGCCCAGTGTTCCCCAGGGGCTTCTTCAGGAGAACCCACCCCATTATAGGAGAAGCCAATATATTCTCTAGAACTAGGGCTATTCCCAAATACATGCCAGGGCCACCCCTACATTCCCCCTCTCCATTCCTACAAATCCACGTGTGACCAAGGCTGGCTTTTCTATGCTAAGGTGAGAGGTGAGCCAAGGGATTGCAGGTTTTCACCGGAATCCATTCCCCCTCCTGCACAGCTACACTTCAGCTCTGGCCAGGGGGCCCCTCAGAGAAGGTGGAACCAAAGGTGGAACCACAGCCAGGGAGAACAAAAGGAAGAGTGAGAAGCCTGTGCTGAGTAGCAGATGGGTCGAGGAGGCGGAGGGCAGGGCCGGGCAGGTGGCATGGTTACGGAAGCAGGCATAACACACTGGGCTTTGTTCCTGGCCCACGTGAGTCCCCTGCAGAGGCCCAAAGCTGCTGGGCCTGGAAGACCTGCCAGGGCGGGTGACAGCACAGAAGGGCGCGTGCCGCCCCTCCCGGAAGAAGAAACCGACTACCTGGGGCCGCTACAGCAAACAGCAGGCTCTGCCTCTGGCCAAAGAGGGCCAGGCAAGGGCCGGAATGAAGAGACTAACAGGTCCTGTGCATTCCTTCCCAAACCACTGGAAACTGATCTCAGAATCCCATGGGGCTGGGTCCAGCTGCGGGGCTGCCCCTGGGAAAGTGCTGTTTCTTCTCCCAACATTCTCAGAGGGGCTGGCCCACAAGACACATGGAGCTGGAAAGAGTACAGGGCACCCCCCGTGCTTCTCAGTGGGGTACTGTGGGCTCTCTCACTGAGATGATCCTCCACCACCACGCTGGGCTATCTCACACGCCGCGCAGGTTAACTATCTGGCCCCCGGGCACTGCTAAGCACCCCCACTCACTTCCAAACACTGCACAGTAGTGTGGCCCTGCCCCTGCTGGGCAACTTGGTACAATCCCTTTGTAGTACAGATGGGTAAACTGAGGTCAAGAGAGATGAAGGCATTCGCTCAAGATAAAACAGATAATTTGTGGCAGAGCCAGAACTATGACCATAGCCCCACGCTTTTCCCAGCCCCGCCCAGGAACTCAAAACCGTCCAGGGCACTCAACCCTGGAAGTATCTGATCCCACAATGGGTCTCCCTCCCCACAGCCAGGTAGAGGTAGCCCTCTATTGCAGACAATGCCTGGCACACAAAGGCGCTCAGCTGACTCCTGGCTGAACTGAGGTAACCTCAAAGGAAGTGTGGGACAAGAGGCGTCTGGAACCCTTCCTGACTACCTCCCATGACACAGATGGCAGCCTCGAGCCAAGACCCCCATAGGCCTCTTCACATGTGTCTCACCAAAGTGGGACCACAGACCCAGAACTGCAGGATGAAGAGAGATTACCTGCCTAAAAGGACAGGCCACGCCCCCACCCCCGAGTCCCCACACAGACACCACGGGGAGCGCGGAGTCTCACTCACGCAGAGGAGCAGAGGAGCGTTCATTAAGGTTCTGAGTTGGACAGGCCTGGCTCCAATGCTGACCCTATCACACGTGGCATGCCCAACCTTGCACAGAAGTGCCCCGCACAGAGCTGACTAGGTAAACAGCAGCTACCATTATCATTACCTCGACCACTCTTCCTGCCTAAGAACTCACATTTTTATGAACATTAGAAAGCTCCCTGCCTTGCAAGGCCCTGAACCACTCCCAGACCGTGGAAGGAATGGAGCTGCCACGGCAGAGAAGTCTGGTGGGTGGGATGGAGGGAAAGGGACCACGGGGTTGCAGGAACCACAGACCAGCGGCCACAGAAACCTGAGCTGGAGGAAGAAATGGCATGACTCAGAGGGGACCCAGCATGGCCTCCAGCGTCCCCTCCTGGGGCTGGGGCTGCCCCGGGGCTGTGGTGAGAGATGCTGCATTCCCAGACTGCCACTCAGAGCCCCCTGCACCCCCACATCCACAGGGCCTGGGAAACATCAAAGCCGGCCCTGCGGGGCCCTCCGTCCTGACGTCAGCTCACAGCAGGTCCTGGTTAGTGCTTGGCTGGGGCAGACTTTAGATGTTACAAAAGGCAGGGAGAGCAGCCACCAGGCCTTCCCCAAGCCCCCAGGGCCTGCTCTGAGCCCACAGCTGGGCCGTGAGGCTTCTCCTGCAGGCGGCCGGCCCAGGGCTGTGGCATCCCCATTTGCTTAGAAGACAGTGTGCGGTGGGCCCAGTCTGGCCACCTGCACGGTCTGCACAGAGGTCAGTTGTTTTGTTGGGGGAAAAAGGCAGGCCACTTAGAGGCAGACCAAGGAGCCCGCAGCAAAAACTGCAGACTCCAGAAAAAGCAGGGCTGGGAGGGAAGGAACTCTTGAGAAGCTTCGGCTGATAAAACAACAAAAAAAGTAAGGACAGCAACGACATAGGGGGAGGAAGACGACTTTGGGGGATTGAGGCAGTACCTGCCTCAAGGTGGCACAGTCACCACCAAGGCCCTGTCCCTGTACTCCCTCTGACTTAAAGACACCCCCAGGGCCGTGGTCTCTGGTGGAACACTGTCATGGGCTTCCCAAAGCTGCCCCTTCTTTCACGGTCCAGCCACACCATCCACGTGCCACGCCTTCTACATGCAGCACCTCACAGAACACACAGCTGACTGTGCTCCTGAAGGCGGCTCCCTCGGTGTGGCAGCTTCCGTGCTGCCCAACAGCCCTGCCACTCCCTACCAACGCCAACGTAGCCTGGCCTCTCTGTCCCCTCCCCCTTGCCATGAAACAGGGACCCCACCGCGACTGCCCAGGCTGTGTAAGGCTAGGTGGGCTCACAGAGTCAAAGCTCACAGAGCAGCAAGGAGCACTCGGAGGGGAGGGGCTGCCCCGCAAGAGGCCCCTCTGCAACGACAGTCAGGCAGAGCCAGGCAGAGCCATCTGCCCACGCGGGGCACTGACCCCAACAAAGCTGGAGCAGGAAATGCCCAGTAAGAACGCTCTCCAGGCTGTTTCCTCAGCTCCCCAACAGCCATACATGCAGACGCTCACTTTGCCTGAGCTCTGGCCCCAGCCCCCTGAGAAAGGGCTGTGTGGGCAGCAGCCCAAGTCCCCGCTCCCACCCCCCGGCACGCATCTGGTCTGCTGCCTGCCCTGCTTGCTGCTCTCTGGGCTCCAGGCCCAGTCCACCCATGTGTGTATACGTGTGCATGTGTGCACACACATATGTGTAAACATGAATTTATAGAGAGCAGAGAGCAACAGGAAGTTTTTCTGCTCTGAAGTAATTTCAGTTGTTTCAGTCCAAGTATCCATCTGGGCCATTCTACCACCCGTGTCTCAGGGGCCAGTCCTCCTAGTCTAGGAAAAAACACCCCCTGGACACCGTACAGGCCCTGGGAACTGCCAAACCTGACCAGCTGATTTCATCTACCCTCTTTCCCTCTTATGAAAGAAATTTCACGCTTTGAACAAACGCCTTCGGATCAGAATGAGATGCCACGATGACCCTGGTTGGCCCCGGAAAGGCACTTTGTAGGTTCTGTGTGACCAAGTGAGTGACTGTGACCTCTCCCACGCATGACACCAACCCGCCCCGGAAAAGTGGCTCACCTCTCCACACCTGAGACTCAGCCCTGGCACCGAGGCCCAGGGCCCTGTGTGGAACATCCTGACGCCCAGGAGCCCAGGCCTCGGTGGCTCCTGTTGGGACACACAGACCCCTGAGGGAGAGGCTGGCCAACTTCCTGTGCCCTGTCTGTCTGGGGCAACGGCATCAGGACACAGGCCAGAAGAGGCGGCCCTCAACCGCAGAGGCACAGACGCTCCAGTAAAAAGAGCGGCCCCAGGACCTTCATCCACAGGAGGACAGCTCTCCTCACAATCTCCGCCCCCACCTGGAAACTCTAGGGCAGGAGCCCCCAACCCCCGGGGCCTCGGACTGGTGAGGTCTGTGACCTGTTAGGGTTAGGGCTGCACAGGAGGAGGTGAGCAGGGGAAGCGAGCTACTGCTGCTGGCATTACTGCCTGAGCTCCGCATTTCCGCCTCCTGTCCCTCCGGCCCTGCCATCTTGGTCCGGGGGAGAGCCGTCTTCCACAAAACCCGTCCCTGGGGCCAAAAAGGTTGGGGACCACTGCTCCGGGGGGCACCAAGTGAGAGGCCCCAGAAGTAGCAGAGTCCCTGCCCCACGCCTACGCCCCTCCCCCAGGGGACCGATGCATGCACCACACACCCTTGGCCCTCAAGGATTTAACCGGCCCACTTTCGGCTGCTCTGGAGCCACTCCAAAGGTCCATGGCCCACAGACGTTTGGAAGTGTCTGCAGAAACAAATTTCAACCGTGGCAGCAACGAGTCACTTGGATGGACAAGCCCAGTCACCTCCCCCCACCCCCGACCCCAGTTCACCCAGGTCGGCAGAAACACAAACTGCTGAGTGGGACTGGTGGATCTGGCACCGGGAACATCCTTGTCCAGTCCCACCAGCAC